ACAGTTTTATTCCTGGCATATATCCAAGAAATAGGAGGACCTCTGTCTACCACCATGGCAGCCTCATTCATAATGGCCCCAAATCAGAAATACCAGTAGAAGAGGGAAACTGATGTATTTGTAGAGGGGAATATGGCTCAGCCATAAAAGGGAAAGAACTGGTACGTGCAGCAACATGGATGAACCTCAGAGACATAATGGTGGGAAAGAAGCCAGACATGGGGGAGGAAGACTCTACGCCTGGTTTATGTGAAGTTCCATCACCAGTGGAGGAATCCCTGCTGACAGAGGCGGGCACAGCGGCTACCTGCTGGACGGGGCACGAGGTGGGCTTCTGGGGTGCTGGCGGTGTTCTGTGTCTTCACCTGCAGGTGGTTTCAGGGGCGGACGAATGTGTAAAAACTTACTGAGTTGTAGACTTCAGATTTACTCATTTTATTGTATGTATGTTATGGCTCAATAAAAAATAAGTGGCCACAAAAGCAAGTGGTTCTTATCCACAAGCCAAGTCTTTGGCTTAAGGTTTAAATCAAAACTAGTCAGCGTTGAGCTTCCTGAAAGCTTACGAAGAAGAAAATGGAGTCGATCAAGGATTTTCCCACTGCTTCCTGTCTGTTTGTGTGAGCTTTGAAGGAACTGATGGTTGGAGGGGCTGTGAGTCTTCGAAAGCAAGGCCTGGTGACAGCTGCCCATGCTGGTGGTTATGGGAGGAGGCAAGGTGTGGACGTGTGAGGACAGACAGAGAGTGGAGCCTCGGGTGCCCGCGGCACAGGCGGGGCTGGGGCTAGCTCTGCTGATGCTGGGGTAGGGAGGTGGCTGAGGGTGGACCTCAGGCGACGGTGCAGGTGGGGGTGAGAGGCCAGTGTGAGCGGAGAGGGGAGGAGTGGAGGGAGGTGCTGGGAGGGGAGCACCCATGGCATTGGTAACCCGGGAGGGCTTGGTCACTGCACTGGGACATACCACCACAACCACCTCAAGCGCAGCAAACCCAAAGCCAAACTCACCCTTTCTCTGAAAATGAGCTCTTCCTTTTGGACTCCCTCATTTCTGTTGCTGGCAATTCCATTCTCATGATACTTGCATTTGACTACCTGGGAATTATCTTTGCTTCCTCTCTCCCTTTCCAGCACAGTGTTTGAGCCTTTCCATTGTGTCTACCGTCCACTCTTGCCTGTGTTTATTCCCCAAGGACTGTCTTGTACAGGACATAATAACAGGAGTATTTATTTACCACCTGCCATGTTCTGGGCACGTGCTAAACACTTTACATATACTGTTTTTAGTTATCTTGGCAAAAATTAAAGCACAAAGCAGGTAAAATATATCTTCACTTTACAGATAAGCAAACTGAGGTGTGGAAAAATTAACTAACTTGGCCAAGGCCCCAGGCGATGGTTTTATGTGGCTTCGGTGCCGCTCCTGTATGTCTCTCTGCACACTTGCAGACCTCCCTGGTGCAGTCTCAGGCTTCCCTAGATCAGTAGCTCTTAGCAAAGCCCCTTTCCCAGACAAGGCATTCAAATAATTAATGCTGGCATTACTCAGAGACCCTGATTGGACAGAATTTAGCAATGTATTTTTGACTACAGAAGATCAGCTGCAATGGAGGGAACATACAGGTACTAGAGAGCAATACCAAATCATTTCGGGTTGCCTCCAGAAGGCTGTTGGCAGAGGGCCACCCTTGCAGGCTCTGACCCTGGTCTTGACCTTCTCCCTGACATGGGCTTCTGCTTACAGTCCAGCGGGGTAGGGAGTGGTAGGAGGAAAGGAACACAGGAAGGGCTGTTTAACACATGTCCAAATTTCAATTCTACTTGTGCCCTGGGAAATGTCACCACATCCACCCGGGGCAGGGGGTATGGTGACAGGCATTTCAGTGTGCCCTTAGATGGGAAACCCACAACTGTGTTGAAAAACAACTGTCCCTCACAGTCCCCAAATACCTGTGTTTGGCACTTGCTTCTGAACACTGCCCACACTTCCATAATCAAGATTTATCCTGGTCGTGGCCTGTGGGTACCATAAAACCCGACTTGTAAATATGATCAGGCACATGGACCAGCTGTCTGGAGGAGCTGATTAATCCCCAGCAGAAACTTAAGCATGCAGCACGCATGCCATCTGCAGAGCACACTAACAGATACACACCAGGCCCTTTCTGCCTCATGAAGAGGCCGGGGCAGGCCAGACCCTCGGGAGGAATTTTATAAACAGCTGGGTTGTCCCAGAGCTGGAATATGAAGCTCTTTCAAACTCCCTCACACATGCACGTTAGAAGCCCCCCATTTAAAAACGTTCCCATAAAATAAAGGGAAAATGAGACTCATGCCTAATCTTAGTTTTTAGTTTTTGTCTTTTAAATGACTGTCTTGCTGAGAGGCAGTCGGTACAGCTTATAAGAGCAGAAGCAACAGTGCTGGCCATACCCAGACTCAAATCCTGCCTCTGCCCTTTTACTAGCTGTGGGACTTTGTACAACTTACTTAACCCCTCTGAGGGGTGATTGAAATAGATAGAAATGATTTCTATCATTTCCCTCTGCACTCTTCACATTTACCCTCTCAGGCCTGGCTCTCGGCAGATACCCTGCAAACGCCCCAGCTCCTTCCTTTCCCTCTGCTGCAGGAGACCATTTTTTTAATTCTCCTTGCAAATCCTGGAGCCCCACAACCTTTGTTTTTCCCCAAGTTCAGTTCTCCACATCATTTACTTCTCCTTACTTATCTCTTTCCATGTCTGGCATGGATGTGAAGGTATTTGTGAAAGGGAAGAGAGAAGCAAAAAGCATTTTAAGAGGGATGGGTGGGGCTCTATTTGGAAGTTAAGCAAACATGGTACAAAGGGTATGAAGCTGATCCTTCAAAAGGCTTCAGGACAGCATGTGGGACAGTGATGGTGGGGGTTAGGAAGCCACCAGAAGGGTGATGGGGAGAGTTGGCAGGGGACGAGGGTGGGACGTGATGGCCAGGGCTGAGGGTGGCCACTGTGGCCATGCTCCATAGCAGAAGCGTGCTGTCAGGGAAACTGGTGAGGGGCTCTCACACGCCTTCCCCTTGGGTATCAGGCATCCAGGGCCACAGCCAGAAGACCCCACTCCATGGATTAAACCTCCAGCCCTGTCAGCAGCACCCCTGTCAACATCCTTGGTTTCTGCCCTGCCACCTTCTGGATGGTTCAAGGCCAGAATTTGTAACCACAAGTTGTGTAGAGTCCAGAGTCTGGGAGAAGGGGAGGGACAAATCCTGGACTGCCCCATCTGGCACCAGGACTCTACTCACGCATGCAAGGATGCTTTCATGACCGAGTGCTGAGACTGACTCCAATCTCACCTCTTCCCGAATCAAATACTCATGTCTCCAAACCTTTACGTGCTCCGCCTCCTTCTGGGTCTGTGAGTTGGGATGTAATGGGTTTGCCGCGGGGTGAGCTCTCATTTAGGGCCAGGTCTCAGACCCAGTGACACTGCAGACCCTCTCAGCTCGCCTTGACTTAAAATCACGTCCACACTTCTTTCTGGACAACCAGTGCCAATCGCAGCTGCCCGTGTGCCTTTGATTAGGGACACGGCCTGCCATCTGACCCTGCAGTAGTGTGTGTGTGTGTGTGTGTGTGCGCGTGTGCGTGTGGGCATGCTCACGGTGCGGGCATTTGGCTCCAGGACAAGAACTGCCACGTGTTGGGGACATTCAAAGAGCCGAGCTGTCTGACCAACATGTGATTGAGCATCTGGACGGTATCTGCGCTAGCCAGGGTCTTCATTTAACCATGCCCCTCATCACTTGAGACCGCTGAGAATGATGACGGAAGAACGGGTGTGAAATCAAAGAATTTAAAAAGAAAGAAAGGATTGGAATTCCAGGGTGGCCACTGTGAAATTGAGCAGAAAGCACTGTTCTGCAGTGCATTCTAGTCAGCACTCAGCCCTGCTCAGAGTGCCTAGGCTTGCTTAAAAACAACAGCCATGAAGCCTACCCCCTCCTTCCGACGCGAGCATTACGTTCTATAGGAGAAGCCTATGTTCAACCGCAAACAACACACTTCATTCCACACACTTACCTGCTTACCACTGTGCATGATCCAGGGTGGTAGAAGATAACCCTGGGAATTCCCTCCCTGGCATCAAGTGCTCTAAAAGTAGCCAAAAAGCTCCCCACCAGAGTGGCTGCTGGTTTGGGATGTGTTTAGTCTAGAGCCTGATTTCTACAAATCTCTGGCGGAGGAAGAATGGAGGGAGATGATTTAGAGGGGGTGGGCTGCTCGGGTGACACTGTTATTTTCTATCCTTCTTCTAGATCCCTTTTCTGCTCTTCTCCCGGCTCCTGACCCAGCTGGACTCATCAGTGGGCTCCTCTGACTTTTGGCTTCCCGCCAGGTTGGGCAGGACATCTGGAGGAGGCCCGAAGGCTGAGCTCAGGTACGAATCGCCCGATCCATGCCTGGTCTTTCTCTGCCAAATGTGGCCTCTCGTTCTTAGCTCTGGTGGCAGCCCCCTCCCCACTGCCCTTCTGGCCTCGGTGGGTGGCTGTTACTAGCTCTAGGATATCACACTATGCCGTGTTGGTTTTCCTCACTCCGCCCATGCCTTTATAAATAACTCCTTGATTAAACTCTCCAATGAGCATGTTTGTGTGTTCTGCTGAGACTTCGAGGGAATGACAAGCTATTATTTGACTTCTCTTTTGGCCTTTTAAAGCCCTCTTTCCCCAAAGGCAAAGCGTCCCAAGCCTGGACGTGAGGAGGGCAGCATAAGCCAGGAAGACCACAATGGTGGACACTCACTCACCAAAAAGTAACATCTTGCCCATCTGTTGAACCCACTATAGTCTCCCACCTGCAGAGCTATCACATTCCTGCCAGATCAAGAAGAAAAACCTCAGCCGAAGAATGCCATTTCAAATATTTTCTGGAGGAAGGGAAGGGAAGGAGAGAGGAAGGATCGTGCAGTAAGCGACTGCTCTCAAGGATGTGATCACGAGCCATCCTATTTAAATGCCCACCTTGCCTTGCTGTGTACTCGTTGTCTTCGATCAATCTGGCCAATCCAAAGTCAGCAATCTTGCAGATTAGTCCATTCCCCACTAGAATGTTTGCTGATCGCAGATCCCTGTGGATGTAATTCATGCGCTCGATGTAAGCCATTCCTGCAGCAACCTGTGGGAACCAAGGAACAGGACACATGTCACACCATGACTCGATGTACTTACACGTCGCTAAACCTGAGGTGGGAGTCAAAGGGCCATGTGGCCTACCTGTGCTGCCATATCCACAAGGTTTGGTAATTTCAGAGCTCTTCCTTCCCCATCTTTTAAGAAATCAAGTAGACTTCCTGTGAACAAAACATAAAACCATTTCAATTTACTCTGAAAGATAAAAATGCCTGACAAAGGGCTGTATTTGGCTTTCTTATTAGAAGTAATGAGGTGATTGAATGAATAATGCCATCAATGAAGAAAAGATTTATACAAAAAAAAAAAAAGGAGGGTAGAAAAAACTGTGCATTGAGAGGCAGCAGTTTTATCTTTCAGAAACAAACAATGGCGACTCCATTTCTAAGGACAGCAAAGGTTTGATAAAATCGCAATACATGGGATGTGATTCCCTGTATGTCACAAACAAGGACACGTGGGGACACATGGGGAGCTGCACCATTTCAGCCTCATCCCCCAGCAGCCCCATACGGAGGAGTGACGCGGGGAAGATGCTGCCCAGCCGCGTGGTTCCGGAAGTGTGTTCCTGGGACCAGCAGGGATAGCATCCCTCGGGGAATTTGTTAGAAATGCAAACTCTTGGGTTCTACCCAAGAATCAGAATCAGAATCAGACACTCTGGAGGCTGGGCCCAGAAACCTGTATTGTAAGAAGCCCCCTGAGTGATTCTGACACCTGGCAAAGTTTGAGAATCACTGGTCTCGCTTATTTATAGATTTTAAATCAAGGAAAGAATATTCGAGGAATACAGAGTGGGGCAGGTAGCTCCGCCTGCTAGATCAGCACCCGCCAGACCTTAAAGATATCTGAAATAAATAGCTGAAGCTTCAGAGTCACTGGGACAACCCAGCCTCAGGAGCTCAGGACCGACACCAGAGCTGAAACAATCATGAGCAGAGGCTGGAGGCCCACAATGGTCATTAGTGATTGCTTTCATGCTTTAATCACAAAGTTATTTACCATATAACCCTGGATACAAAGGACAAAGAGCCTGCCAGGAAAAAAAGAATTCCAAATAGATTTAAAAAGAAAGTACGTGGAAAGGAAAAATTACACGGGTGTCCTCTGGTACCTTTTAAAGTTGTTTCTTGTTTGCTTTGTCTATTTTTCCAAAACAAAGTGATCTCTGGCCTTACTCCTGGCAATAATGCTTTGATTAGAAAGAGAGAGAATGAGAATAAAATGTGCTCTTTGGGATGCCTGGGTAGCACAGTCAGTAGAGCGTCCAACTCTTGGTTTCAGCTCAGGTCATGATCTCAGGGTCGTGAGATTGAGCCCTGCATCAGGCTCTGCATTCAGCGTGGAGTCTGCTTGAGACTCTCTCTCCTTCTCCCTCGGCCCCTCCAACTTGTACTCTCTCTCTCAAATAAATAAATCAATCTTAAAAAAATGTGCTCTTTAAAAGCATGTCTTTCTTCATCTGATGTTTAAGAAGAGAGCTGGAAAAACAAAGGTGCTGAGAAGATGGAGACTAAACTGAGTCCAGAGACCTGTGTCTGATATTAACTGTTCAACCCTGAAAAAGGAAATTTAGCCCATGGCATTTGAAATGATAGCAAATGATCATAGCTCTCCACACCACCCCTGATATTAAAAATGAATGCTTTCATTATGGCCAGGAGCTGGGACTCCTGACACATGCAACGTGCAGAAGGTGTTGCATTTCATAAGGATCTGGGCGGCAAGCTCAAGGTCATGGTCTTTTTAAAAAATGTTCTCATTAATGAGCACACAATTTGTGCTTCCCGATGGGAATCCTTGGCTCATGCAGAAATTAGGAAAAAAGCAAGCAAGCACTGCCATTTCCTGCCTGAAAACAACCCTGTGGGTCAACTGTGAGGTGGGGCCCAACCTTTATTCATGTACTCAGTGACAATGTAGATAGGCTCCTCAGACACCACCGCGTAGAGCTGGACCAACTTGTCATGTTTCAACTTCTTCATGATCTGTGCCTCCTCAAGGAATGACTCCGGGGACATTGTGCCTGGTTTAAGAGTCTTTATGGCTACTTTTGTGTTTCCATTCCAGGTACCTGCACACATCGCACAATATTAAGTCAAATCAAGATCCTCTTTCGATAGGAAAAAAAAAGCTTTTAAATCAATAGCTACTTGCATAAAGTTAGAGTTTAACTTAGAAAAACTTAGTATCTTTTTTTTTGTTGAACAAGGACAATCAAATGTAAGGACTCTGTCAAATATTTTCAATAGGAAAAATGTGTTTCCTTATCACTACATTATGGTTTATAATTCTTGTAACTTTTATTTTGATATGTGCCACTTTCCTTTTCTGGTGCTCACCCATGTGATTACAAATTGGTACCAAAAGCTCTGGATACTTCTTTACAAGGATGAAAGTCCAAAGGTTAGCACAGGCCAGGCCATCCCATAGCTATCCCTTAGGTAGTAGAGTCAGCATGGAAGAAACTCGATTAAGTTCCATCATTTAAAAAAAACATGGCAACACACTGAGGATGTCTGGAGGTTACTTCTAGACTTTAACTGTTTGCAGTGGATGGGCTACTTGACTGAGTCCTTGAACAGCTGATATATAAGTAAGATTACAAGTATGCTGATGAGCATTGGCAAGAAGCTCATGGTCTACTTGCCCCATACTTCAACCAGGTAAGGAAAATTCCTCAGGTTTACTGATGATCAACCACAAGAACAATAGCTTCTATCAGTTAAGAGTGAAAACATTAAACAGCAGCTAAGAGGGAACAGAAATATTTAGGCATAACATGTTAAAATCAAGTAGGTACAGAGACAGGCCTGGTTTATGATCATTGGTTGCCTCATCTGTAAAATATAGGAATGGAACTGGATTATCTTTTGAATCTCTTTCAGCCCCAAGATTAAGAAAAAAAAAATCTAGGTTCAATGTGTATTCCATTATTAGTCCTATGACTTTGACTTAAAACTCTAAGGGAAACAGAAAAATCTGCTAAGTTAGATTATGCCTTTTTTATTTAGAAAAGAAAACTGGTTTAAATTAAGATTTTTATATTTAATATAATTGATTTTAGAATTAAAAAATTCTGTAAACTTTTGTCACCCTGTTCAAGACATGGTTCATATAATTACAAAATGCAACCTATAAAAATCTAAGTTATGAAAGAACAGTGGCTTAAAGAAGAGTTAATTCAAACTTTATAAAATATCTGACCACTAAATGTAAATGGAAAAATCTGATAATCTGTAAGTGGTCTTTGCTATTTAAGTACTGTTAGCATCCCAAAATTTTAAATAGAGATTTTCTTCTCTAATAACAACCCAGTTAGTCTCACTGGCATTCCATCCTGATCCTGAACTACCATAACATGATGTTTTATGTTCAGTGGGAAACAGATTCTTAATAATATGGTATAATGATTTAAAGTTGATAATTATAAAGTTTGAAAAGAAATTTTTGTATAATGTCTGATTCTTCCTGACTGTATAAGTGATTGAATTAAAATCCTTGGCATCCACAACTTCAATTATAAATTGGGTGAATGAGGGAGAGGAAGGCCATAAAGATATTTATATATACTCACTATATAGTAGCTTACATACACATATAAATGTATATGTCTGAGTGTCTATCTCTAACCTTATTGCTATATCTCTATCTATGTAATACTTATTCCTTGCCAGGTTCTGTTCCAAGTGCTTTAACTGTGTTAAATCTTTTAATGCTGACCACCCCTAATGCCTACAACTACACATAGCAACAGTACCTATCTTTATTGTTTTTAATTGACTCTAAGAAGGAAAGAAGGAGGATTCCATAAGCACCAACATCTGTCTCACTGACAGATGTGTTTGGGTGGGGCCAAAATCATGGATTTTCTCTAAGCAAAGCTGCAACTGACCCAAAGGGTGTTATAAAAGCAGTGGGAGAGGCCCAGTGCAGTTAGCCTTATCAACGACATGACAACCAAATTAAGAGAAAAAGGAGTGTCTACTGAGCATCTACTATGCACAGGGACTCTAAGTATATTGTCCTATATAATCCTCAATCTTATAAAGTAGGTATCATTCCAATTTTACAGATGAGGGAACTAAGGCTCAAAGAGGTTAAATTAGCCCCTTGCCCATGTTAATCAGCTAGTAAAGATTCAAACCCAGGCCCATTGAGCACATGGTCTTTCCCTATAGTAACCCATCTATAATATCTTACCTTCCTAGGCCTTAGGAAGAGGAAACAACGGATTCTTATTGTATTGGTTTCTTGTTCTGTGTGAGCCTGCCTTCATTAACCATATGAAGAAGGATGGAAAAGTACAGCAAAGTATCGCCATGTTCTCAAAATCTGGATGTCCTGCGCCTAGCTAGCTACCCAGGTTAGATGTCTTGGTCCCAATGACTGTGTGGGTATTTTTGCCCCAAACTGTCTTTTTAATTGGCTTTGAAATGCAGCCAAAATGAAATGTGCCCTCTGCCTTACCAAGCCACACTTCAGCGAAACACCCCTGACCCAGCTTCTTCTCCAGAAACAATGAATCACGTGCAACTTCCCAAGCATCTTTAGCCAATCCAGAGGTTTGTGGGGTACAACTCGATGCAATCAGAGTTAAGTTAAAACATAAACCATCAGCTTTCTCTACAGGAAAGGGAATTAATAAAGAAAACACAGTCCTTATAATCCATAATTATGCATGCACTAGGAAAGATGGAAGGTGACTTCCCCTTTAAGGAGACACTGATTTCACTGGGCAAACATCTGCACTTGAAAATGAAAGGCAAGGCATTTGTGCAGGCTGGAACATTCCTTGTACTATTTTCTGTCTTATGAATTGAAACTCATATCATAGCATAATTTGAGCCATCTGCCAATCTTGACCACTATCTCTCTTTTGGAAATTCCAGAATTTTGAAATCCAAATCAAAGGTATAATTCCCCACTATTAGTAATTTAAACCTTCTTCTGGATCATAAAGTCTTTATTTTTCACCTTCCATCTTTGATGTTTGGGACTTCCCAAACGAAAGAGCTAGTAACAGAAAAATTGAGTCTCAGCATACCCATCCATACTTCCCCAAACTGCCCATTTCCCAGTCTCTTGATCAACTGCAGGGATTCTCGAGGGATTTCCCAGACATCTTTGGTTTTGACAGACAGATCGGTAAGCCTTGGCATCCCTTTATGACAGGGAACTACTAGGCGGCAGCAGAGACCTGCGGCTCTCTCTGATGGAGTGGGGACAGCAGCAGGAGAGGGAGAGAAAAGCAGAACACGTGAGACAACACTTATAGTCGCACAAACCCAGCGAGCGCACAGCGTTGCTCAAAACAGTGCTACATCGGCAGAGAACTGCACATATCTTGGAAGATTAGACACCACACATTGAAACATGTTCCTTGGAGGTAGGACAGAGGACATTTCAGATGTGAACTGCTCCGTGCCTCCAGGTATAATATAGGCTACACAAATATACGGGTACAGGTACGGCTGTTTTGGTTTCTATACTCACTAAGGAAGAAAAACATTTTCCGCCCAATATGCTAGGATCATGTCTCTGGAACCCTAAAATACCTCCACTGATTTCAAAAGGTACCTTTGGACTACAGAATGTCAGCACGACTGTCCCCTCCCTCTCTAATATCAAGGGTTTAGGGACTTTCTTTGCTTTAAATATATTTAAAATTGTAACTTCAGTACAGGATTTTTTTCCATAGAATGTTAGACTGTTATAAACTAGTAAGACTGAAGATTATACCTGGCAGGGGAAAAAAGAGGTCACATTTCTCTAGGATTTCTTTGGCATTTTAACTGACTATTCTACCAGTCAGATACTCTCGCTTCTTTGATATTTTCCATTAAAAAAAAAATCTTTATAACAGTCTCCAATGTATACTTTAGAAATCTGCTTTCAAAGCAGAAAGAAAGGAAACTGAAATCTGCAGAAACTCAAGAATGTGAAAGCACTCTATCTGCTATGAAAAAGACAAAGGAAAAAAGTTATCACTATTGGGTTATTTGGAATTTTTTCTTCTCTCTCTCTCTCTCTTTTTTTTTAAGAATATACCTTTTAGAATCTAGCAGTGGTGAGGGGGGGGGGGGAATTGCCTGAATGCCAAGTGAAACATCTGTCAGGTAAGAAAAGGTAACAAAGCACGAGGAACCAGGGCAGTGACAAAGGCTGGAGAGAGCCTGGCTTGTGAGGTGGACAGAGCCCCGCCCCACCACACCCCACTGGGGGCCCTTCAGATCCCGGGGAAATCATATGTAGTGTTGTTGTCCTTTCTCTGGGAACCAGTTCTAAGTTACTTTTTACTCCTTTCTTTTTGGTAGAGTCAGGTTCTGAGATGTTTAGGCAGGAAATTATTTATGTGTCAATATTTCAAAGGCACTTTGTTGTGTGGGAGAGAGAAAGAGGGAAGAGCAAAAGCCAATATAAAAACAAATCTAACTTGAGATGGATTTTTTTTTTTAAGATGAAAAAACATCTATTGCTCTTCATATCCCTCCTCTCCTTCCAGCTTTACGATGTTATTAAGGTGCCCTTTCCAACACAATATTTTCAAATGATCCAAACCCTGGGGATCCTGCTGATGTTTGGCTGTAATGAAATATATTTCGGCATTTGAAAAATCCTTACACATGCAGGCATTTTGGGGATGTTGCTTAAGCTCAGGGAGATAGTCTGCTTCATTTCTACTAAGTATTTCATTAGAATCCATGTAAACCTAAAGCTACCCAATGCCCTAATCAACGAGTACTCCAAGTGTTGTTAATTTTTTCACTTTTTCATTAGTGCCCAGGATCAACTGATAGGCATTTCTTATTGCCATTTTCAAAAGATTGCTTTTTTTGGTGCTAAAAATTATACACACATTTTTTTTAAACAAATGTACATAGAGCAATAGTTGAGGTCAAGTCATGTGCTATTTTGGGGTTTTGTTATTGTCCTGAAGAACAATATAAAATATGTGTATGTGGGTATGCACATATATATGTATATGTGTGTATATATATGTATACACACACATATACAGATCACAAAAAAACTACTGGGTTTAATGGGACATAGATCTATATCTGTACATATGTATCTATATAAAAATCCACCTGTGTGTATATGTTATATAGTGGGATACTCTTGCTAATCTTGGAAAGAAAATGATTATTTTGACACCTGTATATAAGACCACATCCTTTACTAAAATGTAGAGACTGTATACCTAAACATTCTAGGAACAACACACTAACCGTGACATTGGGGGTTAGGACAGAAACTGATCAACTGACTGTTTCTAAGTTTAATACAATAGCTGTAACCAAGCTAGGAGCTATGGGTCACATAGTCTACATCTAGTTAGGAAACTAGATGGGTAGGGAAGTAGAACATGATAAATGGATTGCAAAATTCATCTGATCATGGGAATGAAAAGTATGCACAGCCACTCCTGTGAGTGCTGAGTGTGAACTGGGGGCCCCCAGCAGGAGCCCCCCTGTGAGCTCCCTCCCAGACAGGGCTCCCTCTCCTGTCACGGTTTCTGATTACAGACCCCAGGGGAAAAGATGACAACATTTACAATTTAACTTACTGCTTTGTACCTGGGAACTAGAATGTTTATATAGAGTCTTTTGGCAAACGTATGGAACTAATAATAACTCTGGTAGAAAGACATCAGTAGAACCTATTCAGCCAAGCCCCACCTTGTGTGACCGGCAAAGAAAATCGTCACTGCTGACTTCATATATGTTTGTATTCCGCGCCCCGCGCCTGCCCCCCTGCAGCCCTCCCACCCCCCCACGCCCCCAGTGCCTACCCATTCCCTCCAGGGTACCAGTGGTTAGTAGTTAGTTAGAATTAGGGTTACCTGAGTAATGTTGTACAAGCTGCTGAAGTGTTTCAAACTGGGCCCGGGTGGTAATATAGTATCCACCATTGTCAAGTTTGCGAATTTTATAATGTTTGACGTGGTCTCCTTTCATATCATCCCAATCTCGGATTGACAGTGAATAGGCACCTGGTAAATAGGCAAAGCGTTAGCAGCTCCAGTCATTTGGAGAGCTCATTTGTTTTTTGGGTCTCATTTACTTGAGTATTCCGATTAATAATCATGAAGAGGACGCACAGCCACACATGCGCGCATCTGCGCGTGCACACACTTCCACTCAGTAACGGAAGAAAACACCTCTTTCCTGAAAGGTCAGAAGATATTAGCAATTAAGTGATTTTATCCTTGAGAATGAAAGCCTCCTGGATTTTTTCCTACGAGACTCTCTTCAGTACCCCTGTGTCACCCAATACGGTATAGACCCAATCCTCTGGGGGCGGATGAAAAGAAACAGGCGCTGGGGTCGCTCTCCTCAGCTTCCCGGCCATGGAGCGTTGCAGGGGCAGTGGCAGTGTGTGTGAAACAAGTGTAAGGGCTGTTTCTCTAGAAGGGAGCCTCCAGTTTCTACTTGGCAACACCATCTCAGGAGCAAATCACCATGTCTGGTAGACGGAGCTAGAAGGCCACGGCTGCTCCTTTCCCTCAGCCCAGCTTCTCTTGTGGGCTCTCAGATGTGAATAATGAATTAAATAATGAAAGGCCAGTGGCTGGAGGAAAAGCAGTCCTCAGTTTCCATAAAACGAAAGGAATGCAAAAACAACCTGTAGGAGTGGTGCCTGAGCAACTAAAAGTTGTAGAAAGTCCTAATTCTAAAGACGGGCTGCAAATTCTATGAACTTGCGTGCCTGCAGGAATGAAGCTGCCCGGCCCCTGTTTCCGGAGGAAGGCTTGATTCTGAGCCTCTGTAGTCCTTTCGGACTCTAGAGCCTGAAGGGAAAACTGAAAATAGGACTCTGCTCACAAGGTGGGGAGGATATGTGCCATTTAAAAATCCTTGTACATTGGAGATAAGCCTTTCATCCCCTCTGACTAATCCACAGATCTGAATGACAACCAAGTTCTTCAACTCCTTATCTTACCTTTGGTGGTTTCACTTTCACGGATAAGAAAGGTACCTCTCGGGTTTCCAAAGGACAAAAGCTGTCGCTCAGCATCTTTTCGGCCAAGTTTTCCAAAGTACCACCTTTAAATGAGATCAAGGGAAGGAAGCCTTTTGTAAGGGTCATTTACAAAAATGTAATATCCATCCTCCTCACCCTTGATCATATCCGTAGCCTTTCCCTGTACGTGTCTTCCTAGCCTCATCTAGTTCCCTTTCAGTCTGCTCCTGATTCCATCCCTACTCCATCTCTTTCACTCTTTGAAGAAAAAAAAATCAGATTTGAATTGTGGGCGATTTCCCTTCCCTTCCAGAGGTGACAAGAACCGGTTTCTGTTAAAACTGCCACCTGCATTCACAAAAAGAGAAATCTAAGACCTTGTTTTGAAATGGCAACTGCAGGAGACCCTTCCCATGCCCATCTACAAGACCCTGGGATTTCTGAGCATAATTACAACCCCTGGGAAATAATGAAACACAGCCTTAGTCTATATAAAGATCATTAATCAAGCATTAAAAAAAAGAGTCAGAATGGATAAAGAACAAAGACATGATATTTTCAGTAACTTTGTACCTATAGCAACTTTGAAAAAAATTGTCAAGACTACCCCGAATTGAGATGACTGCTGCCCTTGGATGCTTGCCTCCATGCTCTTCCTGGCCAGCAGGTGTGAGGACCTGGGTAAATGAAAGGCGCTGCCTTAGCAGATGGGTGCGCATCTGAGCGGGTGCACTCGGCACAGCTGCAGGGACAGGTCACTAGGCGCAGCCAACGAGCACGTCCTTCAAAATGACTGGTGTTGCAGACGTTTCCTATCCTCCTTGTGACGACACTCTGGTGCCATGTGAGAAGGCATCACATTCAGTCACCTCACAACCTCTGCTCTTTATCTTTTCTCTTCCCTTCCACTCTCCAGCCCTAACCATGGCCCGGCAATTAGCTAACGTCTCTGCACAAGGTGCTGAATCCAAGGCAGAATTCAGGAGCACCCCATCGGAATCTGTGCCCAGAAACAATTTTAGAATATTCAACTGTGAAAGGATTCAGTTTCTAAAGTGAAATTTTAATTCATTATACTTGAACATAGCTATTATGTGTTCACTGTCAAATTCTTTTGTGAATGAAAGAGCCTCACTGAAGATAAGAAAAGATACGCTGCAAGCGAGCTCCTCAGTGACTTTTAAAGGCACCGGACTGTGTAATGATCCTAATTTAGCACTAGGCGGTAGAAAGAGAATCACAACAATTATTTATGAGAAATGACTTTCTGGGTTTGCATCAGTCACCCAATGAAAATGCAGTATAAATGCGAACAGTGGTGAAAAAAGAGCTGTTAGAACAATGGATGGAACTAAAACAATAGCATTTTCAGATAATTAAAAAATTAATTGCCTATGTAAAACCATATGTGTTATCTTCTTAAAACGCTAATTTATTCTTTAAAAACAAATTATTTAAAAAACTTATTACATTATACATATATATAACTTAAATATATAGTTGTAGGTTCCCAGTTAAATCAAAATAATGCCACATTTTAGTGGTACCTTTTATTCTGAAAAAACACAAAGATGTTTGCAAATCTGCCATAAAATAAAAATTCAATACAAATTCCTTTATTCTCTGATGATAAAACACACTCACTAGGAGAAAAAAGGAGTGCAGAACCACTGAGTATTTGAGAGGGGGGAACAAAAGCGATCTTCTTAGAGCAAATATAAAGGAATTAAAGCAAGACGGTGATCCAGTTGGGGATTTGGCTGGGGTGTGCTATCTAATCCTCCTTGCCGTGCTTAAGCAAATCCAGGGCAAAATGCAATATCGGAGCCAAAGGTTGGGCCTCGTGTCTGACTTTCCTTGACTCCCTTACTGGTAAGGCAAGACTACCAGAAGAGGCAGATCCCCAGGGTGTCAGGGAGGAGGACAGGTCCCCAAGTCTGGGAGTCGTGGGCCAGTTTTCTTTCCCTTAGTTCAGAAATGAGGGCCCTCACACAAACCACTCTGATAGTTCTCCCTTTTGGAAGTGCCCATGAATCTCCACAGGTGAGGAGAAGGAATGATAGCTGTCCGTTCTAGAATCCCCTCAGCCTACTGACCATCTTCCCAAACTGGTACCAAGTGAAATCCTTGGTCCAACTAACTGCTAGTCACAATTTACTATCAAAGAAACCAACCAAGACCCCAACTCAAAGGAAAGGAGCATCTGAAATGCATCAGAGGATTTCCCGAGTTGTGGAACATGCCGTATGTGAGATACTTCTATGTGGGGCATGGAAGGTATGTCTTCAGTACCCCCTTAATATTTCTGATTACACTGAGAAAGAAAACGTCAAGCTGATGTTTAATAATTATTTGCCCCCTTGGCCCCTCCCACCATTCTCTTTCCCTCCCTACTCCCATTCTTTCTCCCTCCCTCTCTCTCCTTTTTTTTTCAGCAGACTATAGGCTTAGAACTTTGGGTTCACAGTAATAATATATGCTCTGGCCAGAACTTCATCACATTTTCCTGATCAGTTTCTATCTATGGCAAGTAATACTGGGTTTTCATTAGGGTTCTGATATAAAGTTCCCTTTTGAAATAAGTATGTTTTTAAAAAGCAGGTGTAAAGAAAAGTATTAAGTTAATAATAGTACAAGTGTTACATAGATATGGCAAAAACCACAGCATGATGCCTGGGGAAAAAGGGCATCACCACATTCTCTCAACTCTGAAATCACTCTAGTGAATTTCTTCTCCCTCCAGCACAAAGTTAATGGCATTTTATTGTGACAGCTAACTTTTAAAAGCAAGTAGTTTGAGTGAAAACAACAAAACAAAACATACTCTTCTGCCTGGATAGAGTCAACTGGAGCCACATAATTGCTGGGAATGTAACCAGTCTCTCCAGTTGTCAAGGAGCGGGCTTCCCACCAATCTCCTTCCCTGCAGAGAACAAAGAGAAAAGGAAGTGAATGTGTTGACCATTTCAATGTTCTGCAGTTACAGACTCAATGCTGTATAAGACCATCTCCTAGTCATTCCACTGCCTGATTTCTCCAAACTCCAACATAGCCCTTTGTAAGGGTCACATGGCTACAATCTGAGTCAACTGTGACTTGAATCCCGTGCTGCCTCTCATTTCTTATTTTATTTGCAAATTAATAATGTAGGACCCTGGGGGTGCCTGGGTGGCTCAGTTGGTTAAGCGACTGCCTTCGGCTCGGGTCATGATCCTGGAGTCCCGGGATCGAGTCCCGCATCGGGCTCCCTGCTCGGCGGGGAGTCTGCTTCTCCCTCTGACCCTCCTCCCTCTCATGCTCTCTGTCTCTCATTCTCTCTCTCTCAAATAAATAAATAAAATCTTAAAAAAAAAAAAAATGTAGGACCCTGGCCATGAGAGAGCTTTCTTGAGGTGGAGGGGCATTTTGCTTGGTAAGTGTCCCCAACTCGGACAGAGGGGGAAGGGAACCCAGCCTCAGGCTACTTTAGAAAAACCCTGTAACCACAAAAACAAAATGGTAGTTATGTGAGGTGAAGGATGTGTTATTGTGGTAAACATTCACAATATATACGTGTGTCAACCCATCACATCGTACACAACCTATCACAACCTACACAATGTTATGTGTCAGTTATATCTCAGCAAAGCTAGAAGAAAGGGGCACCTGGGTGGCTCAGTTGTTAAGCGTCTGCCTTCGGCTCAGGTCATGATCCCAGGGTCCTGGGATCGAGCCCTGCATCAGGCTCCCTGCTCTGCGGGAAGCCTGCTTCTCCCTCTCTCACTCCCCCTGCTTGTGTTCCCTCTCTCGCTGTGTCTCTCTCGCTCAAGTAAATAAATAAAATCTTAAAAAAAAAAAAAACCTAGAAGAAAAACAAAGCATGCATTAACACTACTAATTTAGCTAAGTCTCTACTTCGGCTCACATCCTGAGGTAAGCAGCATCCTCCGGTATTGCTGGAGAGATGCAAACTGTTTGCTGGTTCTAGTGTTTTTTGTTAGCCATTAACAGATGTATCAGAAAAGAAAAGAGAAACAGATCATCTGCAATCATCTGAGAAAGGAAGCCTGCTAGGAGGCCCAGGAAGGAATGAAAGCCTACTCCTAATACCTGCCTTACTTGCTTTCAAGACAGTGGGTAGCATGATAAGGGCGATAGGTTAAGCCTTGTTCAGAAGTTTTCAACCTGAGGTTATTTCATCAACTACTGACAGCACTGACCTGAGCCTGGCGGGCAGGAGAGGAAGGGGGGGGGTGTAGCTGTGTGTGTACAGGTGGGGGGTGGGGGTGGGGACAAAAACCGTCCCGGCGCTGAGGCTCTGAGTCTCACCACTCCGTAAGACCCAGTGTTCCAGGTGATAGCCTGTCTCAGTCGGGAGAGGGGGGCAGGCTCTCAGAGCCGTGGGGAGAAGGACGTGAAAGGGGGCCTTGTACCACCACTTGCAGCTTAGAACAAACAGGTCAGTTCAATGGTTAGAGTTCATGTGTTAGGCTCAGGGCAGTGGACGTGTGACAGAGAGCAGGGACGGAGTGTATGACTCTCCCCACACACATATGTGGGCTGCAGCCTTGCCACGCGCGAGTCCACAGAACCCCGCACCAGCCCGAGGCCAGGGGTGCAAGGGCAGGGTAAGAGGCGAGGTCACTGCTCCTGAGCATACCAAGACCTGTCAGAATGCTCTTCAGCAGGGGCCCAGCGCCTTCTCTCCGTCCATTTTCTGGTCCTTAGAGGCAGCAAGAAAAACCCCTAGCCTTTTTTTTTTTTTTTTAAATCATTTTGTGGCTGGGCTCTGTGTCAGAACCCTCAGCCAGGGAAGAAAACGTGTTGACTTTTGGCCTCGGTCAAGATCTTCCTCAGGCTGTTGGGATTAGGTAGAGAATAACCAGCCTCTGTATTAACACAAGCCTTACTGAGAGCCCCATTCTCCAAAGACTGACTCTCTGAGCAAGCTGACCGATGAGCAACAATTCTAGATAAAATTTAATAAAACAACAGGCAAATGGTGACAAGCCCGCCCGCATTCTGGGTGTGGCCGTGGGGCAGTGCTTGACGGCACAGGGGACACAAAATAGCCCACAAGGAAACGGCGTGCCAGCAAAGGCTTTTAAAAACTTATGTCTTTTTTTTTTTTTTTTAAAGATTTATTTATTTATTTTAGAGGCGGGGAGGGGCAGAGGGAGAGGGAGAGAGAGAAACTTAAGCAGGCTCTGCGATGCAGGGCTCCATCCCACGACCCTGAGATCGGGACCTGAGCCGAAACCAAGAACTAGACACTTAAACAACTATACCACCCAGGTGCCCCTAAAAACTTATGTTTTAATTCATTTTTCAGTCTTTCTTTTTTCACTCTATTACAAAAATTTAAACAGATAAATCAACCAAAACAGGGAGATAACTTTTCATACCCAGAAAGTCCTTTGTTAATAAACCTTATTTTTAGCTTATGTCCAGATTTGTCTTAGGCAATGACTGATACATGCCAGAGAATATATGTGTATACGAACACCTGTGAACCCACCACTCGACTTAAGAGCTGGGTCTTTACTGATTGTGTGGAATCTACTCTGTGCTGCTCCCCTATTGGATTCCTCTGCCTTTTGGCCTCAACTCATAAAATTAAAATTGTTAACCTTTGAACAGTTTGTATTGGTTTAATTTCCATGTCCTCTAAAAGAAATACATGCAGTTGTTAACTATATCATCTAGGAACACATGTGGAAGTTAAGTTTTTTTGAACACATGCTAAGAAATGGCTTTGGAGGCTTTTAAGATAGCAGTGTTTACTGCTCTGAAATTCCACCAGATGGAGACATTTCATCATAAAAAAATTAACAATACCCATCATCTCCCCACCTTTTCCTTTCTCTTTCCCTTACTCCATCCACCTCCTAAACCCCACACCCAGGAAATGCTCCAAAATAGTAAAAAATTAAGAGCTTTCAGCAGAAGCTTATCTTTAATTGCAACCTTCATCATGTTAGTTCTAACTGATTTAAATTAAGAAGACCGTCTAGTATCAATGCAGGGGGACATGGAAATGTCACCTGAGGCAGGAAGCCAATATATTTTGCTGGGGCTGGGACAAGCCCAGTCTTATTCAGATGATCTGGGATTTTTTTTTTTTTTTTAAAGATTTTATTTATTTGATAGAGAGACAGCCAGAGAGGGAACACAAGCAGGGGGAGTGGGAGAGGGAGAAGCAGCCCGATGTGGGGCTCGATCCCAGGACCCTGGGATCATGACCTGAGCAAAAGGCAGAAGCTTAATGACTGAGCCATCCAGATGCCCCATCAGATGATCTGGGATTAATCAAGTATGGTTGACCCTTGAACAACATGGGTTTGAACTGCATGGGTCCACTTACATGCAGATCTTTGCCAATAAAAACAGTACAGTAAACATACTCTCTTCCTTAGGATTTTCTTAATAACATTTTCTTTTTTCTAGCTCACTTTATTCTAAGAACACAGTATATATAATACATACACGAAATATGTGTTGACTGTTTACATTATTGGTAAGGCTTCCAGTCAACAGTAGGCTATTAGAAGTTTTTGGGGAGTCAAGGTTATATGCAGTGGGGGGGAGCTGGTGTCCCTAACCTGTCCATTGTTCAAGGGTCAACAACAATTTTCATTTCAAATCCAGTATTAATATCTCATTTTGATGTTGGCACCTAAATAGTTTAGCATAGATTAGAATCCAACTATCAGCTCATTCTAAAGTCATTTATCAGGAATTCATGATTTTCTCTTAAGTGACTCCATTAATCTCACAAGGGTTTTTAGTTACTATGAGAAAGATAAAATCCTTTTCTTTTTTGAGGCCATCCAGGGTCACTTTTTCCATCAAAGGCGATATGAGGTGACAAGGAAACAATGTATTATGTAGTAAGCCTCACAGGTTGGGCCCAGAGAGGCTGGTACCGACTCAAAACATCTATAAAAAAAAATCTTTTGAGCAAATGAATAAATCATCTTTTTAACACATTAGAAGTCCAATACACCCACAAATAATACTCTTTACAAATCTTTACTATGCTACTTTTTACTTCTTAAATTATTGTGAGTAATTAACATTATTAAAACTGCACTTTAAAAAAACCTGTTCTTACAGTTCAGATATTTCATTAATTCAGTGTTGGTGAGATTTTCTTTAACTGTTATCTTGCTTTGACTCAAATATATGATTTAAGGCTCTGGTTTAGAATAACTTTTAAGTTTTTATAAGAGCTTCCCCTATTCCTCTAATTTAAATACTTATTAAAAGAGCCTGTTCTCAATCCCCAAAATTGCTCATTGGGTTTGTTGGCCCCTGATCCAGCCAGGAAGTGGCATTTGCACATAGAAGTCAGCCTGATCCATTGAGCTGTGGAGCATTTTTATTATAAATACTATATTCTTTCTCAATTTGGTTAGTGCCATCTTACTGTCAGAGAGCATATCCATAACAATTTTATCATATGCGTAGATGGGAGTCTAACCCAGGATTTCTCCTTATCAAGATGAAAAGAACTTTAAAGGAGTCACTACTGTAGGCACTATTCTACTTTGTGTAACATGTTTATTATATTTTAAAGAGTCAGTGTTTTTAGGTGGTAAATCACTAAGGATTTCACATTTCACGTGAAATTTCACATTTCACGTGAAATGTGAAAATAGGGAATAAAACAGATAAATTTCCATAGTTTGTAAAATGGGTTCAAGTTTCGTAATGTCCAAATGCACTGCACTGAGCACTTGTAACAGGTCCGTGAAGAACCCTTAGCCTATGCTGGGCAGCAGTGCCCACTGGCTCTGGGCACAAGCACACGCGTGTACCACACAAAGGCCAGCCCTGTCGCCTCCAGTTTCTGCCTCTGGACGGGGTAAGGGGTGGGAGGACACATGCACTAGGTGGTGCGGCAGCTGCCCCAGGGAGAGCAGAGCGCCATCCCCTCCCCCCACCCAGCGGAGGAGTGCCTGGGGCTGGGAGGGGCTGGGGGAGGGGAAGGAGCCGCAGGCCATCTGGTTCTCTATTACTGCTTTGTTTGTCCTTCATGATTTCCTCTTCCCTGTTATTACCCCTTACTTCAAGATACTGTATTTGTTGTAAAAACCTTATTTTTTCCCCCCATAACCTTGGAAAAGGGCATTTAAATGGCATGTAGGATGAGGAATTCCACTGGCAAGAAGGAAGAACATTAAATAAGGGAAAAAAACCTTTGTAATATTTTCTTCTAAGAGAACAAGGCCAGAGGCTCAAAGCCTGTAAACACTAGAGGCCATGCATGCAAATCATAAAATACCGACTGAGATAGACTGGATCTTCCTGGAATGTTTCTCCAAAATTTCAATTAATTGCCATCGTAGAACCTATCCAGATTAACAAAGGAAGAAGTCAGGAATTTGACTTTGGCAAGGACTGGCTTTCCAAGTTGCCTAGGATCCGATGTGTAGATCCCCCTGCAGTGTGGACAAAACCCGCAGAGGAACAGTTGTGTGGTACTTCCTACTACTCCTTAGTTCTCACTTTTCAGAAGCTGGTTAAAAGTTCTAACCGATTTTGGGACTGAGAGAATATTACAAAGAATGGGGAGGGGAAGTGGAGGGTATTTCCTAATTCAAAGTAAGTAGACTCTGAGGAGAAGCATTCATCAGAGAATCAAAATAACAATAAGCAATCATAAATCAGAAGAGATCAAAGCCAAATTCCCCTCTCCCCCACCTCCCAGCCAACCTTCCAAACTTTCATGTATCTTGCAAGGTTCAGTCCCCTCTGGGCCTTTCCGAGATCAAACCCGACACAGTACTCAGGATGCCATCCCCACACCTCACCCTTGGCTCTGCCGCCTGCTAGCTCCTCTGTGCACCTGGGCAGCTACCTAACTTGAGCCTCTGGCTCCTCATATGTCAAACGATGACAGTGAGGCACATGGCAGACAAATGCCATGAAGAATAAATAAGAGGGCGCCTGGGTGGTTCAGTTGGTTAAGCGACTGCCTTCGGCTCAGGTCGTGATCCTGGAGTCCCTGGATCGAGTCCCGCATCGGGCTTCCTTCTCGGCAGGGAGTCTGCTTCTCCCTCTAACCCTCCCCCCTCTCATGTGCTCTCTCTCACAAATAAATAAATAAAATCTTTAAAAAAAAAAAAAGAATAAATAAGAACACTTGCAACTTAGTACGTGGCTGGCACACAGGAGCCTTCAATAAATGGCAGCTGTTTACTACTTAAAAAAAATCTCTGTGGCTGTGAGGGGCCTTGAGGGGGCAGGCCACGTTCTTCTTGATCTGGGGGCTGGTTGCACAGACATGTTCAGTTTGTGCAAATACAGCAAACTGTACACTTCCAAAACATTGTGGTAAAACATGCATAGCAAAATTTACCATTTCAACCATTTTTAAGTGTAATGGGCAGCACTAAGCACATTCACATTGTTGTGCGACCACCACCACGCACATTCTGATATGTGCGGTTTTCTGCATGTATTTAAAAAACCCCACCCATACCCATTAATGATGACAATAATAATTTAAAAAACCCCAACAACCCCGTGGCTACTATGTAGGCACAGTTTTCTGAGATTCAGAAGAGTGACTGGCCTCTTGTGGGAGGAATCTAGCTCTTGTCCTTGAAAGGTGGTGTATTCGGAGAGTTGGGGGTGTCCCAGGGAAGGCGTGGGCTTTCTAAGGAGGCAGTTTTCAGGCCTGAGGGAGTTCCCTGTTAACAATGACCACTTCTCCTTCCTAGGAAGGGGATGCTCTGGGGCGCCTCTAGCTCCCCTCGCTCGCTTCTCCTCTTGCTGGAGCTCTTGGGGAAAGCTCAAGTGCCAGGCGTTGACTGGTTCTTCTGCCCTCACAGTTTGCTCAGGGAATGGAGTACAGAGCAAGTGGGGCCGGCAGCATAGGAGAACTTCCTGGTGGGCCCTCAGCCTTGGGGTGGCACTCCTCCCTGGTCCCTGCAGAGCACTCACAAGGAAAACTTGAGGACGGGGGAGAAGGCCTGACTTGCTGATGGGGACATCACCATTTTCTTTTTCTTTTTTGGGTGGGGGAGGAGGGCAGAGGGAGAGAATCTTAACCAGGCTCCGTGCCCAGCACAGAGCCCCGCATGGGCTCCATCTTACAACCCTGAGATCATGACCTGAGCCAAAATCAAGAGTCGGATGCTTAACTGAAAGAGCCACCCAGGCGTCCCCTCCCTTTTTTTTTTTTAAAGTAAACTCTACACTCAATGTGGGGTTCGAACTCACAGCCTCAGGATTAAGAGACGTATGCTCTACTGACTGCGCCAGCCGGGAGCCCCCACCACCATTTTCTTTGAAGCCAGAAGTTTTGGGGCAGGCACACTGCCTTAACCTAATAGAGGCAATATTTAAAAACTACAGGGAAAGACGCCTATACATAATGCCATATATACCTACATTTACTCTTCTTATAGGTATTAAATGTAGAGTTTGATTCTACCCTTACGATGAGTGATTCTGACCCTTGAAACTTCCCCATTGCCTATTTAACTGTTGTTCCTACTGGTCACATCTAAAATGCACGCATTGTAGTCATTCACAAGTGGGCGAAGTCCTTTCTCCTTCCATCTCACAAAGATTTCAGTCACTCGCGGATTTTCAGTCTGGGGAAACGCCTCCACAGGCTTCACCAATCAGAGTATTTAGCAGTTTTGAAAACAGAAGGAACTTGTTGCCAGCTGTCAATAAGGGCTCAGCTAGTGCCACTTGCAAAACGCAACAAAACAAAAAAACCCATCTCGAGGCAGAGAGAGGGTAATGTGGATAGCCAAGCTTTGTGCTAGTCATCTGAAAATGCAGATCTACAGGGGGCAATACGGGAACTTTTCCAACCTGTAAACCGAAAAGCATCAACTCTGCTACTATGGTGGCCCCCCAAAAGCTCCTTGGACACCAGTGCCAGAAAATACTGCACTGGCTCATCAACTCCTCATTTCTCAGGTTCAACTGCTACACATTAATGAATTTACCAAGTGTTCTCTTAGCACTTCAGAGACTAAAAAGGCACAGACTGGTAACACAAGTATCCTTTCCCAATCTGAAAGATATGCATACTTCCCTGTCCCTCCCCGAACTTACGAGCTGTTCAATATTTGGAATTTCTCTCCTTTGTGAAAACTCAGGTCATCTTCTGTCCGTGCTTCATAATCATAAAGGGCTACAAACAGGGTTACTCCTGACAAAACAAAATCAGAAGGGGAGAGATTATTACACAAGGGGAAGTTAATTCCAAGAAATGAGCTCTTCACTAAAATCTCATTCTCAAAATCTACATCTAACCATAATATGGTGTGGTGGTGATGTAATTAATGTGTGCAACCAGGGCTGCAGGGCTGAAGTTATGCCTTGGTCTTTGTAGGGGAAGCATTATTTGGTCTGACTGAAGCCTAGAGCTGGAGGTGCACTTCTCCCTGAGTCCTCGGGAAGAGGCAGGCGTTAGCATCATGTCCACAACCAAGGGGCAGCAGTGGTGCTCCAGTTCAGAGCTGTGAGGCCTGCAGCAGTTAAAGATACAAATTCCCTTCCTCTCAAGAGCCCACGTTAGGTCCAGGGTAAAACAGATCACAGTAATGGAGAATGTAACAGGAAACTCCTTCTGCAGCCTGGGACTGAGAAGACCCTCTCCATAAATGCTCACCCCAATTAGAGGATGTCTTGCTTTTGGCATCTGCAATTGCTCTGGGGACTCCGTCTCTCCTACCACAAATTTGCCTATCCTTGCACTGATTTGTAGTCCTTACTCCTCCTCATAACCACCCTACATTTTCTCATCTGGTGGACTCCCCACAGAGGCCCTTCCTGCTCTGCACAAGTCTGCTATCGACAACAGAAAATCTCCTGCATCCCATTTGGCTTAGGACCTCCTTCATGTAGTGGGTAGAATTCTAAGGTAGTCCTCTATGAGTCCCACCTCCTGGTATTCATGCTCTTGTGTAATCCCCCTCCCCCGAGTGTGGGTGAGCCTAGTGACTTGCTTCTAACCAACAGGACATGGCAAAGGTGATGGGATGTCCCATAAATGATTAGTCTTCAAAAGATTGCAACTTCTGTCTTCCCTGCAGACGCTCTGTACTGCCACTTTGGCCTGAACACTTTGATGAAGAAAGCTGCCATGTTGGAAAGACATACATGACAAAGAACTGAGGGTGGCCTCTGGCCAACAGCCAATGAGGAACTGAGTCCTGCCAGCACCACACGAGCTTGGTAGCAGATCCTTCTCAGTTGGGCTGTGAGGTAGTGACTACAGCCCAGCCAACACACCTTGATTGCAGCCAGTGAGAGGCCCTGAAATGGGGGATCCAGTAAAGTCATTCCTGGTTTTCTGACCCCCAGGAACTGTGAGATCCTAAATATGTATTTTTTTAAAGTTGCTAAGTTTGTGGTAATATGTTATGCAGCAATTATTAACTAATACATTCCATTTCTCTGCTCTCTGGCTCCTCATTTTGATCTCCGCACACTTCAAAGTGCCTGCTGTGGCCTAAAGAACACACAACATGGATTCCACTCTTTAGCAAACTGCCATTTTGCTGTGTACGTACTTCCAAGGGAGCAGATGTGCCTGTGGGGCTATTCGCAAACCAGAGAAGGAGGTGGGACTTGTTTTTCCACCCGATCCCAAGTGGGGCTTCCTGTAGGAGGACTGGCATTCTGACGGTCTGACCATGCAAAGCAGCAGGGCTCATTTGGCAACTTTAAATTTCTTTGAAAGGTTGGAAAAGAGACTGGCTTAAAACAAAGAAGTGGAAGCCTGTAAGGTCATGCTTATTCTCACTGAACACTCTATTAACAGATTCCTTTTGTTACATAATTTGAAAACAAACCCAAGCCCCATTGTGTGGAAGACAAGGAACACAAGGACGGACACTTCCAATCTCCCACTCTCACCCTGCATCGGCTGGCAAGTTCTCACTGGGGTTTTTATCTTTTAAGGATGGAGAGGAGAGTCAAAGGAGGTCACAGGGCACACAGACACTGTTCTTGGCCTTAAAGCACTAAAAGCAGTGGTGGAGAGACAGATATGCACATATAACAAAGCCAAATAATACAAGGCAGAGAAATCTGCCAACATTTGGGAGTACTAGATTTTAACTTCCAAATTTTAAAAGGGACCAGGTGGCCTCTTATACTAAGATTGTCCCTGACAATGAATCATGGAACACTACATCAAAACTAATGACGTAATGTATGGTGATTAACATAACATAATAAAATTTAAAAAATGTAAAAAAAAAAAAGATTGTCCCTGACTACAGTATAGACTCCCATGTTCAAGGCAACTATTCCCTTCTGGTGACTTTATGAATGATACCTGCAGACACAGGGATTCGTATCCAGCATTCATGAGTGAATGAACAAGGTCAATGTCTGCATCAGCAGAATTCAGTCTGGTTGGCAAAGAACTCAGCAGGCACAGGAAGTGTGTGCTGGTGCATTTTTGGCTCTTTTTTTCCCCTTCTGCATCCTCAGAGACAGACTTCCATAGAATGCCTCTTTCCTTCTTCCCTCCATCCCAGGTGCCTTCCAGGAAGGTAGGAAAGATTAGTAAGTATACTAACATTCATTAGCTCCTGCGAGGCCTACTTTAAAGAGAAAGTTGGATCCACTACAACACAATGATACAATGCCCAAAGCTCTGGGTCAGGTCCCCTGGATATAACCACACTGCCATGTTGCATGCAAAGGGAAAAAACCCCTGCTAATGTCTCAGTAGTGCCAACTCCCCAGATAAAAAGGCACAGTGAGTCCTTATATAAGACTTCTGCTCCCAGATGAGCCAAGAGCACAATGGTTGATGTATATTTCTTTAAACTTTTCTAATAAACAAAACAGTTTTGGAACAAATAATGTCAAGTATCTAGTTACCATGATTCACATGCTGGGAGATGATCTGGAAGGCTAAGGATGTATGAGATAACTTTCAAATATTTTGCAAAACATATGTCTGAGAATGTATGCCAGATATTTTACAAAGTATTAGCTAAGTCAGCAAATGTACATGGCAGTAAAACAGAGCCTCGTGGTGGGAAAGAGAAGGAAACTTAAAAAAAAAAGAGAAGGATTCCTTAAGGATACATAACATTTGATTTTGAAATACAAGACATAAACGATACACTTGACGGTTGATAAACTCTGTCATATGGAAGATGATGGGAAGATCAGAAAGAGAATTAATGAAGATCAGTGGCCAAAACAAACGCTGCCAAACATCCCCACTGGCTGGGAGGTGACAGGCAGGCTGACAATTAGGAAGATGAGGGAGAAGGTGCTACCGCCTGCAAAGTGGCTCTTAACTGGGGGATGGGAGGAAAGTGCACTGATATCCAGAGGACTCAAAACATACATTCTCAGATCCAGTCCCGGAGCTTCTGATTCGAAAGATGTGGGATGGGACTCAGCATTTTGAAAAAGCTGCTAGTTATTCTGAGTCAGCCAGCCAAGGTTGAGACCACTAATTGGCCTTGAGTACCTTAGTAGAAGCTGCTATCTCCTAACCCATGCAGAATACTCCCAGAGCAGCTACTTGGGGCCACCTCGCACCACTGTAGCCAGCATTTCATTTGTCCATCAAGCCCTGTTTGTTTTAATAGCCCTTCATCTGGCAGTGGGTAGATGGAGACTGATGATGAAAAATGTAATGTTAAATCCTTAGTCAAAGGGAGCTGACTGGAACACAAATGTTCAATTGACAAAAGAATAAAGAACAGCCTAATTCTTACCCGTTCCTCCCCTGGTACGCAAGGTCCCGGTATGAGATGAAGAGTTCACACCCCCAAAGACGGTGAGTCCTTGGCCCCCCGCTGCGTGGAAGTTGTTGTAGTTAGGGATGGAGGTCACGCCGAAGCTGGGGTAGTGCTGCGGGGTGGGGTCTGTGCCATAGCGGTACCCGGAGCTCTGGGTCAGGCTGCCGTCCCTCTCCTCCGTCAGTTTTGTTGCTTCTTTATCCTTACATTGCACACAGCCCATTATCTAAATTCCTGCCGAAAACAAAAGGGAGGCACGTGAACTTGCATGCTCCTTAGCTGCTGGGTTGCTGGGTCATTTATAAGGCTCGCCCTTGGCTATTTCAGGCCTAAAAGGGAAGGAGGAAAAGCAGTGGCTAGGGCTGATGGTTAGAAGCGATCTCACAGTCCTAAACTTGACAATCACATTCGTTCCCCATGTGCTCTGGGTGACAGGAGCCACACAGCGTGTGGTCGCCAGGCAGCAAGGTCCTCACATGAGGCCTGCACCCCTTAAAATCCTCGAACATTACACACCTGCTTAAAGATAGCCCAAGACTACTTATTATGCTTTTCTTTAGTCATCTAAAAGAATAATGTATGCTCTAGGAAGTGAGTCCATGCAATATGAGACCAAAAACCTCCATTATGGGGAAAAAAAAAAAAAAAAAATCTAAGCAAGAAGGTGGAGGAATGCTGGAAAAGCCAGAAGACAGCTCCTGAACAGCTCACATACTTCTTTTCTCACGGGTACCCATTCTTCAGGCACACACCTGGTAAATTTTAAGCAGTAAGATGATGGTAAGTATCAAAATTAAGAAATCATTGCTGGATGAAAAATAAAATTAGGGGCGCCTGGGTGGCTCAGTTGGTTAAGCGTCTGACTCTTGCTTTTGGCTGAGGTAGTGATCTCAGGGTCGAGAGATGGAGCCCCACGCTGGGCTGGGCGTGGAGCCTGCTTAAGATTCTCTCTCTCCCTCTCCCTCTGCCTCTCCCCCCCTCTAAAAAAAATTAAAAAATAAAATAAAATTGGTAGAAACTAAGAGGTCTGGGTATATTTGCAGGATGTCATGATAGCCTACAGTAACAAAATCATTTTCAGCTGCTAATTAACTTTCCAAATTTCCATTAGCTTTTGACATCTTTCAAAAATATTAAAAAAAAATCAATCTCATGTTCTAGAGTTAGTGGTGGACTAAAAACTCAGGTCATTGTCACCCCACCCTCCTCCAACCTACTTCTCCTGTGCTTATTGTAGAAATGCAACCATCAATGACTGACTTGCTCAAGTCAGAATCCTGAGAAGCAACCTATTTGCTTCCTTTTTACTTTTCACTCTCCCCGTCTCACACTCTACTATCCAAACATGCCGAACTTCTCAGTTACTTCAAGGTTCAGTTTTTTCTGCTTTGCTTTAGGCCTTGGAATGTGGCCTTGAACATTTTTTCCTGATGTGCAACATATTCTTCGTGTTCCAGGTAAGACACTGCTTCCTCTGCAAAGCCTTCTCTGATCCCCGTACCCGCCTTCCAAGGCTGGGGGGATGCTCCTTCTAAGTGCTCCCATGGCATCCTGATTTCTCCTATCATGGCACCTATTGTGCCATATTAAAACATAGCTTGTCCACTTATCTCATTGCCCAGTGGACTGCGGGTTCCAGGAAAACAGGGCCCTGTCCACTTTTGTCAGAGCTATAATGCCAATGCCTGGCACACAGCAGGTGCTCGATAAACAGCAATCAAATGAGTGAAGATTCTCTAGCCCAGTCTGTTTCTCTTTCACCCTTTCTCTCTGCATCCAAGACCATCCCTTCTCTCAGCGACTTACATTTGCAGTTGACCCTGCATTTTTTAATCTATTGGTATGTGTGAAAAAGAAAGAGGATTCAGAAATACAAGGTTAATTCGGTTAAATGATCGTACTTTGGACTATAATACTCTGTCAGGTTGATGGGGGTAGGTAGAACATGCAATGGATGCCCCTTCCAAAACTCTGAAAAGTGGCCCATATGGAACCAAAGGATCAAATAAGAAACACATGACACCATGTGTAATTATATGTGTTCACCGGAGAGGGCAAAGCTGGTACAGGAATGGAAGGGACTTGCAGTAGTGAAGAAGAAAGAAAGAACTAGTTTTTCTTAGTATCTTGCAATCCAAAGTGGGGAATGCCACATCAGATACAGAGACTCTTGGTGGGGGGCACTGCTCTGAGCACTGTTTTTCTGGGGAAAAGGGACATGAAAGCAGCATCAGACTGCTCTAACGTCCTCTTACATTACACATTTCAATAAATACTTATGGAATTCACTGTCAGTTCCTGAGAATGGAAATGTCGGGAAATGAGCCACCTACTGCTTGAGCTGAGATCACCCAATCTGGAACACATTTAAGCGTAAATCATTCGAGATTAACTTACAGTATACTGGGTCCAACATGCTCTCTAACTTATGGTAGATGAATGCCAGTTTAAAAAATTTCCAGTAGGAAATGCAAACTATGTCCAAGGCATGATTTATTGAAGGAATTTCATCATTTGTTGTTGGTATTGCTTCATAGGATTGATAAATATCTTGCTTACTTTATATTAACTCCTTCATGGCAGAAAGTTGCTTTGAGCTCCCACAAAGGCCAGACAGAAGACAGTTCTTGTCCCAGGCACTTTTTTCAGGCATTTCACTGATCTACTGTAATTAGAAGATGTGAGACCTGAGTCACAGTATCACATCATTTACATCAGCGATTCTCAGCTGGGGTTGACTTTATTCCTCTCACCCCCACCAAGGGACATAGTAGGCAATGTCTGGAGATACTTTTGGTTGCTACAACTCAGGGATAAGAGGTACTACTGGTACCTAGTCGGTAGAGGCCAAGGATGCTGCTAAACATTCTACAATGTAGGACAGCCTCCAACAGCAAAGAATTAATCGGCCCCAAATGTTAGTAGCTTCAAGGTTGAGAAATCCTGATTTATGGAGGAGAAAGAATTTATAGCCATATCTTCGAAACAGTATGTAACAGCTGTTTCCCTTATATGTGTGATCAACATGCAATTCACAATGCCTTTCTTAGGAGAACAGGCAGGCTAGGTAGAAGGGCACAATTTTAAAAATTGGTATGAAATGCTGATTCTTCCCTAGAAGATTGTTCCTTGTGATAGAGAAAAGAATCTAAACCAATGAGAACTCTCATTACAAACTACTCTTTCAACTGCAACAAAAGAAAACAGAAATGACACGTCAGAACCCCACTGAAAACAGGACCTTATATCTAACCAAACTAAGAAAAAACTCACCTTTCACAATCCACCAAGAAAAAGCATTACCACTGAAATAAACAACTAACACCATACATAGACCTATGAAATAATGAAAGGAAACAAACAGTAATCTCCTTGACGGCAGCTTATTTTTTGGTTTTGTTTTAGTATCCCATCCTGAGGGTCTAGAACAGTGCTATACGCTCTGGGAGCTCAATAAATATTTGTTAAATGATTACAGTGCAAAAACCCAAAACTCAGTCAAAATCATTTTGGAGAAAACAGTTTTCTTTTGTAGAAGGGACAGCTCTGTTACCACTTCATACATTTGCAGTTTAGAGTAAGAAATGTTTCTGCACAGGTCTTGCTTACTCTCTTCCCTTTGCTGACAAACATAAAGAGACCAAAATAAATCAGTCAATGCAGGCTCAAGACATTAAAAGTTAATCACAATGAAAATATTTGTGTAAGAACTTGTGGTCTTCTTCCTCCCACTTGGGGCGGTCAGACTAACCATTTCCTGACGGAAGAGTCAGAAGCCGCTCTGTGAGCTGTACCGAACATGACTTCAGGCTCCTTGCCATGAGACAAACTTCTGAGCATTTGAGTTAAAATAAAAACATCCTTTATTACATATGGTTCTGTGGTGTGGCATTTATGGCCAATGCTGTAGGTCCATTATGAACATATAATGTACTAATATACTTGCCCGAGATCTGTGGGGCACTGGGAAACAAGGAATAATGCCGTTCCAAAAGTGGGACCTTGGAATTACTCTGAAGAATAAATCCTACACCAGGAACTCATGGCCATCCTTCTCTGCATGTTGTTGTGCCTAGAGAAACTGATGGACAAGCACTTTGACCAATAAGATCCTGTGACTGTGGTCGAGGTGTCTGGATTATAGCCACGAAGCCCCCCTATTCTTCAGTCCTTTGGCAAAACCAAAGGGCTCTCTTTCTATTACGCAAGGAAAACCTGATTTACATAAAATTTCCTTAGTCCTGTGGATCTTATGTGTGCCAACAGCATTAAGCAACTCAGGGAAGAGTTGTCAAAGAGAGAACCCGAGGACTGCCACACCCGCACCGTCTGGTGCTGGCCACATGTGGCCTCAGAATCCTTCTTCACATAAGCCCTCGAGTGAGCGACTGAAACCGACATAAAAGATGGACGCTATCCCCGATTCTGCGCCTAGGCTGCTTTGATCCAGAATGAGTCTGGCTGAACATACATTCCCTCCATCGACGCCCAAGACCACGGTCCGGCTGCTAGGTGCACATCAAACACAGATAAGCTCACGCTTCCTTGCACGCCACTCAGTAAAGCAACACCCATACGCTCAGGTTATAACGCTGCAGGACTTCAGAGAAGATTTCAGAGAGCTAGGTACCAAAAAGGGGGAAAGGCCATTGGCAGTCTTCTGCAAAAGCAAATTACCTTCTCTCGAGACACATAAACTTGGAGGCAGAGGAGGGATGGCCGGAGGAAGGCAGGTGAAAGTGACAACAAATAATTTTAATTTCAGCAGTGTGAGCACTTCTGTCTCAGAAGTTCCCATCCTTGCTGCTGACAGTGCAGACTTGGAAGAGTGACAGGTCGAGCCACACTGGCCTGCACTCTGATGTGGCATGTTTCCTGCTGGTACCATTCACCATCCCTTTAGCTGGTCTCCACTTTACCTGGGTGAAAATCATAATAAAAGTAAAGGAACAAGGAAGGGAACCTAGAAACCAAACACAAGCAACTGAGATGGGGACAGTTGAAAAAGAATTTAAAGCTGAATTGTAGATCGACTGCACAGTCTCATACACTTCTCTGGGAACATGGCAAGAACTGGTGGTTTAATGAGCAACCACCCTTTTCTGGGCAACAGTAACACCATAAGGCAAGAGGGTGAGATGTGCAGAAATACATCAGAAATGACTTGACTTCTGGGGAGAAGAGCCATGGCAGGGGGTTCTTGGTCCTTGTCAGATTGGAAACACCCACAAGAATCAACCGGAGGTATCGAGCTACATTCTCCATAGAGAAAACAAATCCCTTGAAAGTGTAGGAAAGGCTTGCTTTAGTTTTCACCACAGAAGTGCTGGAAGCCGGACGTTCAGAGACAGATGAGTGCCACATTGGTAGCAATGGCTGTTGGGACACAGAACCTGTCACCCAAATTTCCCAGCACTTTCAATCCTTTATGATGGGACTTTCTTCTTTGTAGGACACCACCCACAAGAGAGTAGGGGTGGTGCTGTCTTCTGGGGACACCAGGACAGAAGGGCCAGTGCTGACCGGGAAGGCTGGAGAGAAAGCAGGACCATGTTGGACCGTCTTGGAAGTGCAGACACTCCCCAAAGTCCCTGCCATAGCTGGGATGGGATGTTGGGCATATAAATACTCGAGGCCTGAACCTCAGTATTGGTATGGGGTCCAGCCAGTAGTCCCAGATGGCTAAAAAAAAGAATACAGAGGACTCTGCTTCTTTGCTGCCAAATGGAAGGAAGGAGTGAAAATCTGTGCCTTGCTGAAAAGGTGGTGTGGTAGGCAGAACTCCAAGGTATGCCCCAGATTCCTGCCCTTTGTGTGACAAACCCCGTATCATCCCTAGGACTCGTGACTGATGGGATAATCACTCCCTTGATTAGGCTATTTTATTTGGCATGGTTGACTTTAACAAAGAGAAATTATCCCAGGTGGACTTGACCTCACCAAGTGAGCCCTTGAAAGGGACTGGGCTCTCTCTGGAGAAGTAGATACCAAGTGTAAGAGGCATTCTGGTGGAGGGGGGTGGGGATGTTCTCCACTGCTGGCTTGGCAGATAGAGGGGGCTATGTGGCCTTTAGGAACTGAGCACAGCCCCCAGATGGCAGAAAGCAAAGAAATGGGGACCTCAGTCCTATAACTACAAGGAACTAAAGTGGGCCAAGAACCTGGAAATGGATTCTTTCCTCGTCAAGGCTTCAGATGAGAATGCTGTTGGCCAATGCAGCCCTGGGAGCAGAGAGCTCAGCCACACCATGCCCAGATGCTCAGAACTGTGTGCTAATAAACGGGGGCTGTTTAAGCTGCTACGTTTGTAGTAACTGGTTACACAGCAAGAGAAAACAAATACCTATTTCGGTGGAATGGGCACCACTGAGGTGAAGGCTCCAATCTTGGTAGTGATGACCAGTATCAAATGAGGGCTCACTGCAAGCTGGGCACCGTGCTATGTACTGGAACATCCTATCTCACTCGATTCTCATAACAGTCCTCAGACAGAAGTATTATGCTTTTCCCTCATTTGACAACAGAGGAGCAGAGAGGTTTGAGACTTTGTCCATAGTTCCGTCAGGGGTGGTGAAGCCAGACAGACTGATTCCATGGCTGGCACATGGAGCCTGTAGACCAGAGTTGCTTCCTGCCCCACGGACTCCTGGCCAGTCCATGTAAGCATGTGGGTGTGTGGTCAGAGGGGCCTCTGGGGATGGCTCCCTAGTGCCCCAGAGCCCAGCTTCCTGTGCATGACTAATGGGGGCCCTGACATCAGGGACTGGGCCTCACTCCCCCACATTCACACCCTGCCCCAAGACCGTGGGCTCTGTAAGGGTGCTGGGACCATGCGAGGCGTGGTGAGTCACCGGCTTCCTTCATGTGGTGTAGGGTCTTAATGAGCGTTTGAACCAACGACACTGAAGCTCCCCTTAGTTTCCTGATATTTCCTAGATGTGGTGTTTATTTATTTATTTATTTTACCTATGTTGGGGGGGGAGAGAGAGAGAGCACAAGTGGGGTGAGGGTAAAGGAATAGCAGGCTCCCCGCTGAGCAGGGAGCCCGATGCGGGGCTCGATCCCAGGGCCCCGGGACCCCGACCTGAGCCAAAGGCAGATGCCCAACAACAGAGCCACCAGGCGCCTGTGGTGAGTGTTTATATACACCACAAAGGAGTGAGCACTGGTTTCCTTGGTATAAGTGAGCTTGCGGACTGCACTTAAAACATGATTTGCTATACAGGCAAAACTTTCTGGAACATATTTACTGTATAAACAGAACACAAGCAATGCTTTCTCCAAGCACAAAATAACAGATTTCTACTCTTGGTGGAGTCCCATGAGGGACAACACCCTCCCCCTACCCAAGCAATAAAATGTCACATCTTTGAGGTGCAAAGACTGATGTAGACCCAGGAACACGTACAGTGCAGACACCAGTCACGTGCAAGAGTGGGAGAACAGAGCCTATTTAAAAATCAAATCAAAGCTTTGCTTTGGAAATAACAAGAGGTGGTGTTGGATGATCATTTGTGCATGACTCTGCAAGGTCCTCTGGAGGGTGAGGACAATGAATCTTGTTCTGTACCGCACAGCAAAGGACCCGAACTCATGTAAATCACTCTCACAAATGTCACATCACTTTAAGAAAAGAACCACATTCCTGGGACCTAGATTTTTTGGCTACCACCCTGGTTTGTCTTGTTCAAATCACCCCCCATGCCGAGAAGCAGTGGCTCACTCCCTGCAGCATGTTCTCCTTTCCCTTCTCTAAAACCTTCCATTCCCTGATGCCTGGAGAGTCAAACGTACTTAATAAAGAAAGAAATGGAAGCATTAGACCCCGATGGTGAGATTTAACACTGCAGTCAACAAAGAGCTGGAACCATTCCCAAACCCAAATGGCCAAATGAGGTTTTAACACCAAACCATGGAAAGGCTCCAAAAGGAGCGAAGAACATTTTCTTCTTACATTCACTTCACTTCAGATCTCACGGTTAAGACTAGGGGGAAATGGTGATAAAAAATAAGGATATGTTTTAACTGTCTATGCCAAAGGGTTCAGAAAGAATTAGAGCACAGATTATAAAGTTTTTCAGGCCTTCTCCCACCCCTTTTGGGAGGGAAAAAAGGTTCCTTAGTGGTTACTAGCTTAAATTTTTATTTTTATTGATATATAATTCACATACCATAAAATTCACCCTCTTAAAGTTTACAGTTCAGTGGTTTTATATTTTCTATACACATATTACATATACAAATACATTACATATGTGATATGTATATTTAATATACAAAGGAAACCACTGTCACTATCTAATCCTAGACATTTTCATTACCCCCAAAAGGAACCTGTACTCATTCAGGAGTTACTTCTCATTCCCTTCTCAGACTTACACCTGACAACCAGGAGTTTTACGTCTTTATGGATTTGCCTATTTGGACATTTCATATGAATGCAATCATATAATATGTAGCCTTCTGTGACTGGCTTCTTTCTCTTGGCACACGGTTTGCAAGGTTCATTCATTTTGTAGCATGAATCAGTACTTCATTCCTTTTTATGGCTGAAAATATTCTGTTGTATGGATACACCACTTGTTTACCAATCATCAGTTGATCAACATTTGGATTGCTGTCATTTTCTGGCTGTATGAAAAATGAGGCTATGAACATTCATGCATAAGTTTTTGTGTGGACATATGCTTTCAATTCTCTTGGGTTCATATTTTAATATGTAAGGAATTTATATAGATAAAAACCCCCCTAAGATTAGGTAAATGGGAAAGCATGTTAATTGGCAGTTCAAAGAAAGGAGAAAGGACTTGTGAAACTTATGGGAAAATGTTACCTTCAGTAGTAATCAAAGAAACACAATGTTGATTAATGAGAGACTTTCACCTCTCAATTAACAAAATTTCAAAAGGAAGTCTGCCCAATAGTGACGGAGGTCCCCCGAAATGCCTGTTCTCATATATTGCTGATAGAAGACCAGGAATTAGTGTATAACCGTTTCATAAACCAATTTGACAATATTATATATATATAAACAACCTTAAAAATGGGCCTGTTCTTTGTGAATCTGTGCTAAAGAGACACTTTTTGAAAAATGACACATGAAGAGGTCCTATGACATGTTATTTATAATTTGAAAGTCAGAAAACTTGCTAATTGTTTAACAAGAAGATGATGGCTAAGTATATAATAAGAAATGCCGTTCATGTAAAGTAAAACAGAAATTAAAACTTCCGGTTACAGAAAATAATCAGCAATACAGAAAAATGCTCATATTACACTAAGAAGGATCACATGATTGTGACTATATGACAAATGCCTAAAAAATTGTTTGGAAGGAAAGATACCAAGATGCTTGCTGGTGGCGTGTGGGGGAATAACACTATGGGTGACTGTTCTTTCTTCTGTTTTTTCCCCTCAGATTATCTATACTGAGAAAGCACAATTTTTATGAGAATAAATAATTTTTTAAATAGGAAAGATTCCTTTAATTTTATCTGTTACTGATTTAATTTGTATATAAGTATATAACCATACATTGATGAAGTATGCTTTGTGAACTGAAAAATTAAGAGAAGGAAAGAGAGTAACTGATTCTAAAAAAATTTTTTTTTCTTCTTTTTTTTTTTTTTGAGGGGCACAGAGACTGTTTATTGAGTGGCAACTGATTCTAAAAATTAAGAGAGGGAGAGAGAGTGACTGATTCTAAAGTCTGTTAGGAAGCAACCTCTCCTCCTGGAAGGTTTGAAAGGTGAAAGGTACTGAAGGACAGAGAGATTTCCTTTTCTTTTTAATTAATTTATTTATTTGAGAGAGAGATAGAGAGAGAGAGAAAGAGGGAGAGAATTCTCAAGCAGACTCCCCACTGAGTGTGGAGCCTGATGCTAGGCCTGATCCCAGGACCCTGAGATCATGACCTGAG